CACTCGCTTTTGAGCCTTTCTGCTAATTCTCGTTTGCAGTAAACGATTCTATAGTGTTATAATATATAATTTTTAACAATCAATCCCAGTAATTCGCTTTGTTTTGGCTTTGCCGTGCGAGAATTATCTATGTCAATCGCGGGCGCTAAACTAGTGGGGCCCCAAAGAGGGTAATTACAATCGGAAATGCACAGGAATTGATACTTTGTCTGTACATATTGATAGATATTGCACTATTTATCATGAAGGCTATGTTTATCATCACGGTTGTTATTCTTACAGTCACACCAGTACCGTCATATTTTTACACTTAGAACGAATACCCCCATTCGGCCCCACCTTGCAGTCAACAACAAACACACGTTGTCGATAGTAAATTCAAGCGGATAACACAACTATTTCCATTCAACATTTAAAAGATAACACTTTTAGTAGTTTTGTTCATAACATCGTCAAACACTGGATATTGGATTTAAATCAATTAGAGGCGGTTACGTTATAATTATAGGGCTATCGGTAGGCTAACCAGTCAAGCAGCAGCTTTGCAAATTCCGAATCCGTATTCAGTCCAATATCCTCCTTCATCTTTCGCCATCTATCGATCTCCTGTTTAATATAAATTCTTGCCTGTCCTCTTTTCTGGTCTGAATCCTTCCTCTTACGCTTTCTGGCAATTTCTGTAAGGTAACTTTAGGTCCTCGTCGCCTTTTCGTATTTGTGTCTGCTATATTGCTTCTTTCTCTAGACTTATTCGCATGCGCAGCATCAGGGTTACGAGCGGTAATGTTTGAATTAGATCAAGACCGCAATGTTTACATTATTTATTTTTTATATATCAATAAAAAACGGTTACAGTGACTTTCAATTTGAGTAATTAACAGAAAGTCTTAGTTTTGTAACATATTTTTTGGACAATAGAACGTTTTATATCGTTTTCGCGTAGTTAACATTATAGTCGCTTTAACAAAACAAATGAATGTACCGATGCATCATCATCATCATCATCATCATCATCATCATCATCATTATCATCATCCGCATCATCATCATCATCATCATCATCATCATCCGCATCATCATCCGCATCATCATCATCATCATCATCATCATCATCATCATCATCATCCGTATCATCATCATCATCATCATATCATCATCATCATCATCATCATCATCATCATCATCATCATCATCATCATCATCATCCGCATCATCATCATCATCATCATCCTCATCATCATCATCCGCATCATCATCATCATCATCAGCATCATCATCATCGTCATCATCATCATCATCATCATCATCATCATCATCATCATCATCATCATCATCCGCATCATCATCATCATCATCATCATCATCATCATCATCATCATCATCATCCGCATCATCATCATCATCATCATCATCATCATCATCATCATCATCATCATCATCATCATCCGCATCATCATCATCATCATCATCATCATCATCATCATCCGCATCATCATCATCATCATCATCCTCATCATCATCATCATCATCATCATCATCATCATCATCATCATCATCATCATCCGCATCATCATCATCATCATCATCATCATCATCATCATCATCATCATCATCATCATCAGCATCATCATCATCGTCATCATCATCATCATCATCATCCGCATCATCATCCGCATCATCATCATCATCATCATCCGCATGCTTACAACATGTGTAATTTGTATAAGTTGAATCAAACAGATTTCCATATGTAAATAACTCATACACATACGACCAAACGACATGAAGATACACAAGGAAGAACAAAACAAAAACCGACAACGCAAAGAGTGACATAATCCCCCGCTGTTTAAAACAAAGACACAAAAGTATAAATATATGTTACTATTACAACAAGTTCATTCTCTAATTTACTCAAAGATAATGCAACTTGGATACATCATATTCTTAATGTATTTGAAAAAAAAACGAACAGTAGATTAAACATTATTCGTTACATTTAAGGTAGAATTAATCGTAAATCATTCATCAGAATTTACACAGCATTTATTTTTTAGGCCAATTTTATATGGTAAGCTCTAACCAGTCAAAATATCTTCTAGAATCAATTCAATTAGAAGCAACAAGAATTATACTAGGACTTCAATCTGGATCATTTCACAGTTATTAGATGTCTTAAATGCGTTTATTAACAATGTAAATGATAACCCCCATTCCCTCAGACAATCGAGACTATTCAATCCACTAATATACAGCATTAACACTTACTTTGACAGTTTCTTCCCTCTAATGTGTCACACTATTAACAATACTAATAATGACCTCAACTCCTCGACTCTGGCAAATTAAAGAAAATCCCAATAAAGATATCATTACTAAAAGTGTGTCAACTTTAATTTTCAAGACTGAAGGTGATAGAAGGGCGACTATTATTCGTTGTCAACTCAGAAATTCTTGTAGTACTTCAAATTTTGATGTATTTAATGACCATTTAACTAATCGTCCATCCTGTACCTGCTTTTCCTGAATATCCTTTGTACAATGATCTCAGACTATTTCTGTTTACTTCTGATAGTAATTCGGAAAGTCATAACCATATTGATATATTCAAGGTTGTCCTGACTGTGATAATAATACAAACAAAATGTTACTGAACGATTCTCGTTTGCTGATTGGTTAAAACCAGATGTTATATTCTCTATCTGATCTGACAGCTATGTCATGATACTTGCTTTAATTGTGTTATGTTAGAATATCAAATCATCCTTCAGTGTATTTTTTTTCTTATCAAGACATATGAGTTTCCAGGTTAGCATGTTTGTCGGATGTGGATTTTGTTTAATCAGTTTTGGTTTGCAGCAATATATGTTATTAAATTGAAATGTATATATATATATATATGCCATGGAATGTTGGTCAATGTCTGCCAATAACCATATGGTATTATGCTGATAGTTGATATGTAAAACTGTTTGTGTGTAAAATTCTCCCTCCCAATTAATTACTAATCAACTAAATATTCCAAATATCATACGTGACTGTATACTAGGTATTCCACATGACGTGTTAAGTCTCCAGTAACCTCCACAAGAGGTGTCGACATTTTCACAAAACCACCATTCAACAACGAAAATTAATGCTAAACAGAATAACCCTGGAATAGTTTACGTGTTCATCTCCACACCACCCACCAGATAATTCATCGTCAGTTTCGAATCAAGATACGTTTTATCATGACAACCTGAATATATCAAGCAAATCACCAAGTAAACTCCACAATATCGGGTAAATTGTAGATTGTAATAATAGAGATTATAATAATAGATATTATAATAATAGTGATGATAATAATAGTGCTTATAATAATAGTGATGATAATAATAGTGATTATAATAATAGTGATGATAATAATAGTGATTATAATAATAGTGATGATAATAATAGTGATAACAATAATAGTGATGATAATAATAGTGATTATAATAATAGTGATGATAATAATAGTGATAACAATAATAGTGATTATAATAAGAGTGATGATAATAATAATAGAGATTATAATAATAGTGGTAATAATAATAGTGATTATAATAATATTAATAATAATTATAGTGATAATAATAATAGTGATTATAATAATAGTGATTATAATAATAGTGATAATAATAATAGTGATTATAGTAATTGTGATTATAATAATAGTGATTATAATAATAGTGATAACAATAATAGTGATTATAATAATAGTGATAACAATAATAGTGATTATAATAATAGTGATTATAATAATAGTGATGATAATAAGAGTGATGATAATAATAATAGTGATTATAATAATAGTGATAACAATAATAGTGATTATAATAAGAGATTATGATAATAGTGATAATAATAATAGAGATTATAATAATAGTGGTAATAATAATAGTGATTATAATAATATTAATAATAATTATAGTGATAATAATAATAGTGATTATAATAATAGTGATTATAATAATAGTGATTATAGTAATTGTGATTATAATAATAGTGATAACAATTATAGTGATTATAATAATAGTGATAATAATAATAGTGATAATAATAAAAGAGATTATAATAATATTAATAATAATTATAATGATAATAATAATAGCGATGTGCCGATAGAGATTATAATAATAGTGATAATAATAATAGTGATTATGATAAGAGATTATGATAATAGTGATTATAATAATAGTGATAATAATAATAGTGATTTGCCGATAGCTTTAATAGTCTTAGAGTGAATCCTTATTTTTATAAATAGACACAATTGACTTTCTAAGTCTGAGTCCGGGCAGTTTTCTGGTGTTCAAAATGGCACTAACCATTATTAACAATCATTCTAAAACAGAAATATTTTATACGTAAACTTTGTCGATGATTTGATCGTCAGAGTAAGCTTTCTTGTTGTTTTAATACAATGATTGTTTGTCCAATACAATTAGATATGAATTTAAGAAAGTGTCATTTGCGATATGTTTACATAGCCTACCAGATCACTAGAAGCTTCTTCTTTTCTTCATTAACATTAGACTTTTTATTCCATTAAAAATCATATGAAAACCTTTCGTTATGTTGTGGTGCTCTATCGTCCGATACCATTAACTTTATATCGGTTTCAGAGCTCATTTGTCAAATCTAATTATTTAATCATTATTAATTTCCTTTAGCACTAAACCATTTCAATACTAAAGTACTTTCAAATTCGTTTATCGTCAAATGTATATAGATTAATGGTGTGAAACAGGAAAATTTCTTTTAAAAATCTGGCTGAAATGTTTCTGCTGTTAAACAAATGGCGTTCAGATATCACCCAGCATGTAAAACACGTTTCCTTTCTAAATTATCATATGAATAAACTTGACGCTCCCTGATATTGGTACTTGGTACTTAACATCTTATATAGAATACAACATTAGCCTGTGTATATAAACACCAGATGTCGTGATATACCGGGCAGAGCGACGTGCTGTAGACACCTAGCATCCAGTGTTTAAACTAGTTAAAGAAATGGCCTGTTGTATAGGTATTCTACTGCTTGTCTTCTCTCTCCATGTAATATCAAATGGACAGCCTCTTTTACCTGGTGATCGGGCGGAAGTGGAAGCAGCTCTCATGGAACAGAGGATAATGGCGAATATCAGGTACAGGAGCTCGCAATATTGGCTATCATTCCATGTATTTTGATTGACAATTTATCTCTGTTGTACCTAATGGTTAATTTGTATTGAAACAGAAGAACCTCTTGTATATATATATTATAGATCTCCTCAAACAGAACACTAGCACACCGTCCGGCATTTGTTACGAGAATGTAACATCTTCAAGTAAATAATACCAGTAAGGCACATAACTATATACAGATGATTTACAAGCCTAGAATGACTTAAATACACGATGTTATTGTTTTCTTTATATTCGGTGAAGTATCCTGTATTTATTTCTTTGTATTCGGTGAAGTATCCTGTATTTATTTCTTTGTATTCTAGTTTTGTTCATAATTTTGTACAAATGCATGTAAAACTCGCCTTGAAATGTTTTTTGAAATTTGTATTGACTTTTTATTCTTTGTACAATTACATTCATCTACTGGTGTAAAAAGTGGGGGGTTTTTTGTCATTTTTACAAACCATACCATGTCGATTTCTGTTAACCGTAGATCGACCCTTCTGTGACGTTACTCACTCCAGAGCCTGGTAATCCGTTTCATTTTTATAACACGCTGTCTATGTCCGGTTTTTGAGTTTTATTGAGGGGCACCACCCATTGAATTGAAGTGGTAATTTGCTTAAAAGTAACAGACAGGAAACAAAATCATGGAGAGAAGTGATTTAACATTAAACTTGACATTTTTCTGTTTGATAATCACAGGACGAAACCTAGGGTAGGGATTAGGATGTGAAGTCTTGTAAAGTAAGTCAACCTAAAATGAACACTCAGCAGAGGTATAAACATAGTGTCAATTATAGCACCAACATGATAATAGTTATAAGTGAAAACAGACAAGATACAAAACAAAGTTCTTCGTGCTTTCTGTTAATAACATATTTCTGTTAATAACATATTTCTGTTAGATTCTAAAAAGATCTTGTTAAACGAATTGAAGAATTGTTAACGAACATTTACGGGAAAAAATGTCGGCCTAAGTTAGGCCATGTGTGTACTTTTGTGAGCGCGAATTATATGTACTGTTGAAAAATAATATCGTAAATGATTGATAAGTTATTATTATATATCAATACTGTTAGACAAACGCATCGACGGGTAGAAACGTCTGTTTAGTTCTGGAGTCGCACGATAACCGATTGCTTAAGCCAGGTTAAAGAGAGGTACATGTCACTATGACCTGACCTCTATACTGGTGACAGATATTTTATACTGGCCTTGGGTCACTATGTCCTGACCTCTATACTGATAACAGTATTTTATACTGGTCTTTGGTCACTATTACCTGACCTCTATACTGGTGACAGCTATTTTTTACTGGTATAAAGTCACTATGACCTGACCTCTATACTGGTGACAGCTATTTTTTACTGGTATAAAGTCACTATGACCTGACCTCTATACTGGTATAAGGTCACTATTACCTGACCTCTATACTGGTGACAGCTATTTTATATTGGTCTTAAGTCACTATTACCTGACCTCTATACTGGTGACAGCTATTTTATATTGGTCTTAAGTCACTATTACCTGACCTCTATACTGGTGACAGCTATCTTCTACTGGTCTTGGGTCACTATGACCTGACCTCTATACTGGTGACAGCTATTTTATATTGGTCTTAAGTCACTATTACCTGACCTCTATACTGGTGTCAGCTATTTCTCTCATAGCCCGCCATATTGGATAGAGTTTGCCCATGTAATATAGCTATGTAAGAAAATTCTATCTTACATGGGCAAACACGTGCGCGGAGTAATCTGTGTTCAGGGGAGACAACTCTTACAGCGTCCGAAAATCCCTTGTACAAAAAATGACCGACAACCATGTACCAGTTACCTTGCAGGTTTATGTCACGGTCATAAAAAACACAGTCGCTGAATAATTACAGGACACTGAATGACAGACAGAAGTACATCATTTCCAATATGTTGTCAAACACAAAAAGCTCCGAATTAATTCCATCAAACCGAACACCATCCTCTGCCACCATTTCATCAACTTCAACAGTTACTAGGCCTACATCTGATGTCACAGTGTGTTTACCATCGTCATCACAACAACAAAACAGGGTTAACACCTACAATCCTGTATCACAGAAACAATCTGAAACTCGCATCGAATCCTTGTTTGCTGGTTCTCACATTGAAAATTGCCAAATCACCGTAAATATCACCACAAATGTTCCACCACCCAAACGTCGTCGAATCATGGTGATCGAGAGCGACAGCGACTCGGAATAGGAGATCGTGTGACGTTACGCCTTGAATTTATGAATGGAATTCCTTTGACTATGGTGACGTCATGTCAGCGTCACATTATTTTGAAAAAATGTTAAAACAGTAAAAAGATACATTGATATATTTCTTAAAATGATCAAATATGTGATTTTGATGATAAAACTATATGTTGAATTATAAAAACCCGTTCCTTGTTGATTTCTTTGAAGTATTTGACGGAACAAGCTCTTTTCGCGGATGTTTACTTACACATACTATATAATCACACACAGATCATTTTGGTTTTTTCATCTGCGAATAATATATTCATCCTGCAATATACAGAAAAATGGTTTGAAATTTGACAGCAAACTTAAGGTTTGCAAAATATGGGTATGATCGGTAAGAATATCCAGTTCGTTTTTTTATAAAAACCTCGGCTTTAAAAAATGAAAAAAATGAAGATAATGGCCGACCGACTGTTCTTTTCCCAAAATTTTGGTAAAGATATGAGAGAAAAAGACATTATGTGTGTAGGTAGGATACATACACGCATATGAAAGAGTCTTATATCTATACTGATTTTAGGTTGCTATTGCCCGACCTTTATGCTGGTGACTGCAGGAAACATAACCGAGAACAGACCACTGTTATTCGAGCACTAAGAAAACGTGTAGAAGACTTGGAAGATTACACTACAGGAAAAAGTAAGCTGGTATACATATCATAATGTTGTGGATCACCTTGATTATTACTTAATACAAACATGTTTAAAAGTAAATACTTGACTTTGGTGGTACTTCGTAAGTTATCTATCAAGTTTGTCATGTTTAGTGTAGTACCGTTACACAGCGCGTCCCTACACCTCTATAAGGAATAATTGTCATATTACGTTACCCACTGTTTAGGTAACAATAAGTTGTATATGTTTATTGTCTTACAACCAATATTTTAACTGTAAGAATTCGATAAGAGCAACAATTATTGCAGACGGTCCGTTTCCGGTTGATGGTTATCACGTGACCGGAATTAGAGTCCATATCCACCTGGTCTATGTGAGCTGTTAAATCGCCCTTTGTTTCTTATTTGATTCTTATTATCGTGATTTCCAGTTCCAGTCAGGGCTTTCTCACATTTCATACGCATTCACTTGTTTCCACATAATCTATTTAGGAATTGATAGAACGAAAATGTAGCTGACAAGCCTGTCATCCATTGTTAAAAGATTTGTTATTGCTGATCCTCAGAGAGAACTGGATGTAATTTCTCTATCAAATTTCACCTGAAAACTATTTTTCGGAACTGTTTTAACTAAAGCCAGCTGGTGGCAATCTTGGATTCTGGAATAGTAGTGTTAAAATTGTTATCTTAAAATTTCACAGGCAGATCCCCATTCTTTGACTGACCAGATAAAATACAACGAAAGTTTATATCTGTGCATTCACTGAAATGAAGAAACTATCACGACCGCACGACAGGCTTGTTGGATTCCGTATTGTAATCGCTCATTATTTAGAAATATATATTTTCGTTGTACATATTCAGTTTTACACTGTTTTCTTTTGCGATCTGAAGAACAAAATGGCCTACAGGTAAATTTTATTATCCTTATTTCTTAAGAAGAAAATAATGAATTTATAAACAAATTTCATTTGTTTCCTCCTTATACTCATTTAATGTTTACACTTATTGAAAAAACTTTCAAATAGTTGACAGTTGGCCATCTTTTATATGACCATTGCTAGTTCGTTAGACATACTTAATGGAACCTTCTGAAATCACACATCTGGGTTCCTCTTGGTCCCTAGTGGTGCCTAATTGATTGAAGAGCACATTACAGAAAAATTAAATCGTTAAAATTAGGAAAAATATGAGAACCAATATACAGAAGGTCAAAGGATGGGCAGTCCCCTGTGATATATTATGTTAACGACTGTTTTTACTTTTGTTAAGATAAATACCCAACAATACTATTAACTTATCGCCACAAACCTTAGTACGTAATAATCTTTTTACAGATGTGACTGTCTGTTCAGATTATCTTGTATCCGGACTCTATGGCGTCGACAGTACAGCACTGACTGCATCTTCCAAATGGGCAAACCCAGGTCTTGATCATGGGCCGGAAAACAGTCGACTTAATCATGAACGTTTTACAAATTCTACTAGATCGATGACAGGTTCTTGGTCCTCGGCAAAAAATAACGATCAACAGTATATACAGGTAGTACTTCTGAATGTATATCAAACATACACAATATGTATTACATGCATAACTGTATGTATCAGCATTGTTATATTTACTGTTCATTTTAACTTTCTTAGATACACAGCCTATCAGCGCAGATAGTGACGTCATATTGATAATTGATTAACCTTGTTCTTTTATTTATTGAATTATTTTGTGACTACTTTTTTATGTGAATGCTAGATATACGTGAAATGGTAACATCTTGTCTTTTAGGTTCGATTTCCGAGGAAAACAGAAGTAAAAGCAATCCTGCTGCGGGGTCGTAATGAGCGCATTAGTCAATGGGTAAAAACCTATCACCTGCTGTACAGTGAGGATGGTGTGAACTGGGCTACAGTCTTGTCAAACAACCAGGAACCGAAGGTTGGTCATATAGATATCCGTATACAGTGTTATCCTATCATTTGACTAGCTCACAATATAAGTATACTTAGGCTTTCATTTCATGTGCTTTGAATCATTTACACAAAAGATTCTAGAAATAGAAACGTTTGGAATCATTATGTTCGGGGCGGGGTTAACTTGACATTATGGAAACTTTGTCCTTTTTAGTTGTTTATAGGTAATACTGACAGGAACACTATCGTCAAGTCGTATGTGGTCCCCAGTATCACTGCGGTATATCTCCGGATCAATCCAAGAAGTTGGAACAATCACGTGTCTCTTCGCTTTGATGCCAGTGGCTGCTATACTGTCAGAGCAACTCCGAACAGTAAGATTTTTATCTAATATCTAGAGTATTTTATTTGTATAAAACACCTAAATTAGAATAGTACTTAGGTAGACCAAGCCAGATCTAGCAGACGAACTTACATGTAATTCTAACGGTGTGGTTAACATACATTTATAGCTTTTTTTCTCTTTTTGTTCTTTATTTTAAAGATATAAATGATACAAATATATCATGATGTAATGATGGTATCTGCGAACACCAAACCATTTGTGCTAACAAAATTATATCTGACTTCAGTGAAATCGATTAATGTCTTCTGTACTGATTTGATTGAAGGAATACACATGGCCTTGGGCTTCCGACCTCTCCTCAGTTGGATGTCACCGCTGTATAGGGTAAACGAACGCAGTCTTACCCAGGTAGACGCCGCCAATCTCTGTGCGCAGCAGTTCTCCCAACTCATCAAGGTTGATTCCGGGGCAGTGATGACGAGTCTACAGGCCGTCGTGGAGGGAAATCATATACTTAGTAAGTAAATAAATTGTTTAGGCTTTGATCGTATGACACCATGTGTCATGACAGAAAATATTCAGACAATACCAACATGGCAACATAATTATAATCCAACTCAAACTCCATAAAACTAGGGCAAAATAAAAACAACGGAAAGATTTACATGGAAAAACAGTACGAAGAGAATAAATTAAGTGTTCCGGAAGAGTAAGCGTCTTCTGCTGCATCGACGACAACCGCCATGTAAACCTTGGTCAATCCAAGTAAGTATTGTCACGCTCTCAAAGTTATACAACATTGGAACCAACAGGAAAACTAACGAGCATCAAACACGTCCAGCTTCATATCACACAACGGTATCACCAGGCATAGTAACGAGCATCAAACACGTCAAACTTCATATCACATAACGGTATCACCTGGCATACAACCTGCATGTTTTGAACCCCCGTGTTACGACTTTGTCCTTAAGTTGACAAAATCGTGATAATGGTAACTGGCACTTGATATCGAATCAACTGTGAAATGTTAATATCATAATAAATATATAGTTTGTGCAGAAATGTAGTTTATGCGAATCTATACACATAGGGAAAACACATCCACACCTCCGGTTCCATCTTTTTATTCTCTCTCCTTTTTTTTTTATCTCCGTGCCCCGGAGAGTTACAAACAAAATTGTAAGTGCTACATTGTATGTGAATTATCTCCCCTCACCCAATGACACTGCATCTGCGCTACACCCATTTATAGGTAATTACACAACATCCCCCCCACGCAAAGTAAAATTGAGAAACAATTTTATCATGGGTGTACGGAGATACAATGACATTGGATGTAAAGGTGAAAAGGACTCGCTATACAATTTTACAAACATTACAATATTATAAATGGTAAATATACTTGTATGGAATGGAGTAAAATATAGCATTCTGAACAGGATGACCTTTTGACACAAGCTAGTGTAAATACTGCTACCATAACTGGGTATAAGACATAATTCATCAGACCTGAACACTCGGAGAATCCCACTCTCAAAAATTGTATGCAAAAGCATTGTATAGGAAAATTTGAGCATTTACAAAAAGGTACGGTCAAAATGACAATCAAGTATACTCTATACCCTGGTGTAGTCTTAAGAAATTACCGATCACACAACTATAATTGATTATACTCAAGCATCCATAAATGGCAATATTGATCTAGACATAATTCAGCAAAACTTATGAACAAGAAAAAGGTATATAGTGTCATTCATAACTCATATCAAGGACTATCAGCATATAATATTCGAAATTGAAAATCCATTTAAAATAAGATGCGATATACTACCTGTATATGAAAATATATCAAAAACATATGACATGCATATGGCTACAATTAGGCGCAAAATCCATCTGGCATCATCAACTGCAATAATTCATAATTCAATATTAGCAATGTACCAAAAAGAGGCAAAAGAGTAAGTGATTCATAGTCCATTAATACTGAGGTTGTAAAGAGAACAATTTAATCCTACGAATTAATTCGGACATGGGCAATAATTGTATAATTTGTATCATAAAACAAAAAAATGAAAAAAAATGCAATATTCCTGTATTATTTGATGTACGACTATACAGTATATATACAATGGGCAAAATATTAGGCATTGAGAATCTCTGTGTCAATGTAATCAAAACCATAAAACATGTAAAAAACTCGCGCATAAGACACAAATTTGCAAATTGGTAGCATGATAATCATTGAGCGCATGGGAAAAATTGCATCTTAAAGGAACATCTTCCATCGACTAGGTTAAGATAATAAAACCATAAAAGTTGCATATGTGAAGCATCATCCATTAAAAAAAAAACGACTAGAAATATAAGGTCAAACACATAATACAACATATGCATAAAAATGTTTACAAAATACCCACAGTTCACTATACAACCTGACACAAGCTTTCAATACCTATACAACTGGGGGAGGTTTGCGTCTTACAAGACGTTTAGCAGCAGCATCTAAGCGTCTGAACGGAATCCAGAGCGCATTTTGAGCGGGCTCACCAACAAGGTGAACAAGATAGTTCGTGTTTGTGCCATCTTGCCGTTGAGCTAACACACGCTTTATTTTATGTACACCACCATCACTCAACATATCAGACGAGAAGAGAGTGTCAGGGTTAAAGTGTTCATCATCACGGAACCGAAGGGGTTTATTAATTTGTCGTTTAGGTCGAACCAACAGAGATAATGTTGTATGATGCGATGATGCGGAAAAGTTATCAGCACTTAAAGAATCGACTTCAGTCGTACAATCAAACACATCGGAAGGGAGGTCGGTGTTCAAAGCTGAGCCTGGTGAATCAACCTCAGTAGGTGCATCAAATGCGTCAATATCAGTGGAAACATCAAAACGTGGGTCCTGAGTAGGTGCGCGAACAGAAGTAATGGCTTCATCGATGAAAAAGTTTGTTGGGTTAGGAGCCCGAATGTAAGCCATTTTGAGGCGGTCCACGTGTACAGGTTTAGACATAACCTTTCCTGAATCTTTGTCCTTCAGGGATATCATATGAGAAGTAAGGACCTGGTGAACGACATAAGGCCCGGACGCCTTTGGTTGTAGTTTGTGACCTTGGCCCGTAGGTATTGTCTGAAGATATACATAGTCACCAGCTGTAAGATCCAATGGGCGCGAATCACGATTAACACGGTCCGTCATTTTCTCACGTGACTTATTGACATTGTCAAGCATTTCAGAACGAATGAGTGACAGCCGTTTTGCTCTTTGACGAATAAAATCATGACAGGTAGCAGGCAGACCTCCAAAGTCGGTATTAGAAACATTGCCAAGAGGAAATTTTGGTCGTTGTCCATACAGAGCTTCAAACGGGGAGTAACCTGTACCACTGTTTACGGAGTTGTTCATTGCAAACACAATTGCAGGTAATATGTCCTCCCAAGTCTTACCTTGGCTAATGTATGGTGTTATCCGCTCAGCTAAGGTGCGGTGAGCACGCTCGCATGATCCCAGACAATGATGCACAAAGGCGGGAGTAAAGAACTGAGCGACTGATAGTAGACGACATACCTCTGCAGTACATTTCGACATAAACTCAGTGCCCTGATCACTAAGAAGCGAGTCACATACTCCAAATTGTTGAAATAGTTCAAAAAGACACTGAGATACCGTAATCACGTCCTTGCTGGGAATAGGTAATACAAATAAATACCGCGTATACAAGTCAATTGCAGTGAAAATGTATGAATTACCCTTGGAAGAAGTTGGCAGTGGTCCATATAAGTCAATTTGCCACACTTCAAATGGAGCAGAAGGCGTTTTGAAAGCAGTGATTGTTGATTTGGTAGGTAGCTTCGTCATTTTACGGGTTTGACACTCGTGACAAGATCGAACATAATCACCGACTATACACGACATCTTGGGGAAATAGTAGTGCATTCTCAAGGTATCATAGGTATGCTGAATACCGCCATGCCCACCCATAGGAGAGTCATGATAAAGATGTAGCATAGTTCGTATCATGGGTTGTGGCAATGCAAGTTGGTAGTGTTCCATGAGCTGAGAGCGTTTCGATTTAGCAATCCGAGAATGAAATAGGAGGTTATCAACAAGGATGAAGTCAGAAGATTTCAGTAAAATCACTCGCGCTTGTTTCTGCGATGTAGGTAAAGCACCATTGGAAAGATATCTATATAAGTCACGATAATGTTCATCAACCTTCTGTAAATCAATGATATCTTGCCTTGAGAAATTTGTTGTATTAAAAACCTCAAGATTCCGTATTTGGTCAATCTGCGGGTCAGATTCTGTTTGTACATCAATACTGTCCGTTAATATTTCTAGATCTGACTCGTCGTCTTTGTCGGACATCTCCCGATCATCCAACGTTGTATGTTGTATGTCCTGTGTCAGATTCATCTGATTTTCCAATGCTGGTGGTAGTGGAATATGAATGTCGGAACAAAGTGGCGATAACAGTTGATGGGATTGAAGTACCTGCTCATCACTGATGTCTGAAGAATCTAAGTCTACAGAGTTCAAGATTTCAATGTCATCATCCACTCCAATGGAAGAATCACACAGAACATTGTTATGGTCTGAAACGGTTTCTGTAGGGACTATCCCGATATCGGACTGTGGTTTGGAGACTTGACTTTGTTGAGGTTTTGAAGCAACAGTACTTCCATGAGACATGCGTTTGTGGTAGATATGTCGTGAATGTCCAATACGTTTTTGATCAACGGCGTCATCTGTGTCAGCATCATAGCCGTCATCAACATCATCGAAGACTGGCATTGGTTGACGTAAAGCAACATGTTGCACTTTCTTAGAGTTAATGTTCAAACACTGTTCATTACTATCAACAATGACAACATCATGTTTCGCCGACGGAACATCAGTATCAGTATGTTGACACTTTAACAAATCTCTGATGTCTTGTCCATTAGGCAGATTGATGACACATTGCGGTTCATTAACATATGGGAAATGCGGATCATCCTCATTTGGGCTGGAGAAATGTTCATTTTCATTTGAACGACATCGACTGAGGGCGTCCTCTACGACCATATTTGCGGCAGGTTTGTAGTCCCAATCAAAGCTGAACTGCTGTAGGATAGCCAACCATCTTTCATATATGGCACCATGAAATTGTTTCTGGTAAAGTGGTCGGAGTGCCTGGTGGTCACATTCGATGATAAAATGGCGTCCCCGCAAATAATCTGCACAGTCAAGAACACTGGTCACTACACCCAACAGTTCTAATTTTGTAGGTCCATATGACTGTTGGCCTTTATTTAACGACTTCGATCCAAACCGTATGATTTTGTGGATGCTAGGTTCTGCATGCGTTTTATCAACCTCCTTTTCCATAGTATCTGTGGGGTGAAGCTGGTATAGCATATATCCGATTCCTTTGGAAGATGTGTCCACTCCTAGATGAAATGGCAGGTCATAGCGTGGAAACGCGAGTATATCGGAGTCGGAGAGGAGAAGTTTCAATTTTACAAATGCGGCA